ATATATATATATATATATATATATATATATATATATATACATCTTGTAGTGATCATTTGGAGAGATAAACTTATATATTTACCATTTAATAGTTTCTGTGAGATTTGCCTCACTGGAGAGATCAGAACAATTACTTTGAAAACCAAAATTAATTTGTAAAATGAAGTATGAAATGAGACTTTTAAAATGCACCTAAAATTACCAATTTGAATTAACCTCATGGTGACTGAGCACTAAGTCTGAGGGATTATAATGCTAAAATTCAGGTTTTGATATTTGCATTGAGCACAACACAGAGAGCCCATTGTGTAGCTTTTTGCTTGTTAACAAGGAAACCAATTCAAGTATGATGCACAAGTATGGTTACTGAGAAAATTGGAGAATGCAAGAGAAAATTAAATGAATATGAGGGAACCATTAATCAACAGTTAAACTTTGTTAACCTTATGTAGCCTTTATTCTTGTTATTGTTTGAGAGTACAATTAATAAATCATAAATACAATCAATTATTTTTGAGAAAAAAATTATCATTTGTATAAATACATCAAGAATACAACTGGTATGGGCTAGGTATGGCTTAATGGTTAGTGTGCTAGACTGTGGATCTCATGGTACATGGTTCATGTTCTATCACCACAAAAACAATAGATAATAAATATTTTCAGAAATTAACGTCATGTTTAGTGTGTGATAAAGGTCCATTTCCAAGTATTTAACAACCAATAAAACGTTCAAAATATAAGTAGGATTAAATAATGTATAAATGAGAAAGTAACAAAATAATTACATGAAGTGGAAATTTAACTTTTCAAGTATGAAAGAGAAGGAAAAACTTCTAAGGCAGTGGGCTTTGTTATATTTATAGTTAACAATTGCATGTGTTAATGAACCTAATAGTTAAAAACAAACAGTGTTGTTGTATAATAAAAGAGGCCACCAACTTTTTAAGATTCAAGTAAAGTATGATTATTAATTGAACATTACTCCTCAAAGAGTTGGCTAAGTTAATAATCCATGCTTGTGACATGTCCATTCCTTACTGATGGTTATTTTATGATATTATTAATTGTTTTGTTAACTTCTTAAGATTCTGTGGCAGTGCTGTGCGGGTTCAAAGGGGCATCAACAGGAGGCTCACATCAACAGCTGTGGCTTTGTTCAGCTCACGTGATCAAGTAGCCTGTAACACAGGATTCTAAATTTATTGTTTGAATCCACTGCTAACAAAATTGTCACAACTGTAATGTGTTCCAGATATAAAATTATTTGGATGTGCCTGTGACTTAAGAGTTGCAGCAGAAATCTTGTATCCTGTCACGTCTAATGGGGCAGTGCTTTTTGCTTGTATTGTATCTATTTTTTAAAGCACATATTTGATTTTGCTTTTCTTTGATTTAAACTGCTAAAATGAACAATATTTTTGTAAAAGTATTTGATTTCCAAGAGCTGTTTTGATCTGTGCAGTATTTTACCACCAGACACATATTTTGATCTGTGCCGTATTTTACCACCAGTCACATATTTTGATCTGTGCCGTATTTTACCACCAATCACATATTTTGATCTGTGCCGTATTTTACCACCAATCACATATTTTAATCTGTGCCATATTTTACAACCAATCACATATTTTGATCTGTGCCGTATTTTACCACCAATCACATATTTTAATCTGTGCCGTATTTACCACCAATCACATATTTTAATCTGTGCCGTATTTACCACCAATCACATATTTTAATCTGTGCCATATTTTACCACCAATCACATATTTTTATCTGTGCCATATTTTACAACCAATCACGTATTTTGATCTGTGCCGTATTTTACCACCAACCACATATTTTAATCTGTGCCGTATTTACCACCAATCACATATTTTAATCTGTGCCATATTTTACAACCAATCACATATTTTGATCTGTGCTGTATTTTACCACCAATCACATATTTTGATCTGTAATGATATTTTAATGCCCACTAGTAACAGATTTTCTTTTCCATCTAAACTAGACTCTATGAAAAGTCTTTATTGTTATTTCATGCATGTATCTACCTTTCCCCAATTTCATGGATTCTGTTATTTGCTAGCATTTACAGTAAATGATTATTTACCTTGTGGTGTTAAAATTGACCTTTTTTTGTTCTTAGTAAGCAGCACAATACACTTCACAAGATAAGTCCTATTCCATTTGTCAGAGCATCTAAACAATACCTTTATGATGATCAGGGAGTTGAATACCTGGATTGTATCAGCAATATTTCCCATGGTAAGTTTTTGTTTTTTTTTGGAGGGGGGGCCTTCTGTTATTTGAAAAAAATTGTATATTATAATAAAGATGAACATAGCTGATAAGGCCAAAAAACATTTTTATTTACAAACTATTTGGACAGTTTGGAACACGCTTATCCCATCTTCAGCGATATCTGAAAGTAATGTTATGATTATACTTCAGGCCCATACACAGAATGTTTGAAAGAGGTGTTCTGATTTGTGAGATCAAAAATCAATACATACTATGTGAAGCATATTAATGCTGCGGGAGTCTGGGGGCGTGTGACTATTTCAAACCAGAAAATGCTAATGCTTCATCAGAAGAATGTAGACTATGTAGAAAACGTTAAGTGCCATAAGTAGCTGTGCTATAACTGTATGAACATAATTTATTTACATCACAAAAATAGGGGGTTTGGCCAAACCCCTCCTGTGTACATACGTGTACTTAATATCATTAAATGATTTTATAATGTTGGGTATTTATCTAATACTTAACTTGATTTCCAGACCGGAACATTTTCCATTACAGGGGACAAAATTGTTTGATGGATTTGATTAGCAGTTTCTACTAATCAATATTGAATTTGATTAGCAATGAGCAAGTATCCTGAGCACCTTTTTAACAGTCATAATTTAGAACACATTATGGCAACTAACTCCAGCAGTAAAAAGTCTTAACTCTTTGTAAAGACATCCACTGATGAAAAAATAATAAATGGTTTGTTTTTTATTCTTATAACACTTTTATCCAGCTTCAAACCCTAATATTTAATTGTACCATACATGTCATTTCAAGAACAAAATAGTTCTTGGTATATATATAAAGTAAAACTGGAAAAAATACCAAAAACCACAAAATAATGCAACAATCAATTAACCAGGAAAGAAGTGACTTGAAGATATTGCAACTGAACCAGGTTGCCACAAATTGTTTTCCAAATTTATCTAGTTTATTTCGTTTTTGGTGAGACCTCATCACAGCGTGGTCTCTTTGGGTTTTTCAAGAAGAAAATGTCTAGTGTTTTTTCAGCAGTAATTAGGGCATCCTTTACTGTGCATGTCACGAGGTCTTTAGTGAGTTACATTCAAAATTTAATTAAACTACTTTTTGTTTGTTCATGTTATACCAATTTGTACAGCATAAAATCTTAGCTGTTAATCTATATTTTAATAGTATACAAGTTTTAAGTTCTTAATTTTAGAAGGCACTATTAAAAAAGAGATTCTGAATTTTTCCCAGCATGAGAAATGAGACATTTTTTCTCTCTCCAAGAAGTACAAAGTTTAACATAAATTACTTATCATAATATTGTCATCACTAAGATAAAGCATAATTTTCATAGCCTTCAATTTTGTTTGGTTACAGAGCCATCAAATAGAAGATCAGACCCTTCTTGCCACACCCACTTATTACATTCTCTCTTTCAGAATTTGTCAATAGTTCTCTCTTACATTTAATACTGTATTATTTGCAACCACTAGAAAACCAAGGTTTTTATCTATCAAATGACATATTTTGTACATTGTTTTCTGTACAGAAAAACGTTAACTTCTCTTTCAGTACAAGCTTTGTTCCCATTGGAAACACATCGACTAGTTTGGATGAATTTGTAACGGCTTTTGCCGCATAGTTAAAAAGCCAGAAAAATTTGAATACTTATGGGACATTGTCTGCTTTTTGCATTTTATTATTCCATGTTTTTTGGTGCATTATTTAATTAAATAAAAATTATTTAGTACACTACTACAATTAGTATAAAAAAAAAAGTAGGGTTAAGTGTCATCGGAAGTAAACAGGAACTTAGGAATGCCCAGGTAGGTACTTTATTTCTTGTTTTTCATGTGTATTTTTTATTAATTATTATAAAAGTAACTACGACATTGAAAGAGGAATGTCTTTAGATTACTTAAGATTGGATTAGGTAAAATAAATAATAATAATATAATGATTTTCAGGAGGCATGCACGCAAACAGCATGGAGTAGCTCGTGGGTAATGTAATTTGATAGTGCGTTATATGAGCTACACGTTTCCAAAGTAATTTACAACTTATAATGGGGAGAATATTACTAGTAGATACATTGTTAATATTGTAATGGAGCTTATTGTTAATCATACAGTGTTTAATAATCCTTGTGGGTCGAGACGTGCACTTTATGTAATATATAAAAATTTGACTAAACACTAACACTATATTTTGGTTAATCCTTCCATATACATATTCAAGCATTTTAAAATACACTTATTACCAAAGTTGTTTGATGTTTCAGGCTAAATAAAAAAGCCATTCTTCTAGAAATAATTATGTGATACAGCAAAGCAAAAATAATGGTATGACAAATTTGATATTATTTTTGATTTTTAAACTCTATTTTTTTAATGTTTTTAATTTTGTGTGTAAAGATTTCTTTTATGTACCTTTAGTGGCTAAATTTTTTTTTTATGTGAAAAATGTGACCATTATAGACTTAGTACATTACTAACATTAGCAAAACTAATCTGACTCACCCTGTAGTAAGATACATTTTTTAGTTATAACTACATTAAGCAGACTGAGATGGAATTTATCATTTCTGTTCTCAAGCCTTAAATTTAAATGTGATTTTTGTAATTGTGTTTTACAGAAAGATTGATGACTTTCATTACTGATCTATGAAATATTATGTATTGAATTTTGACAGTTGGACATTGTCATCCTCGTGTTGTTGATGCTGCTAGAATTCAAATGTCCAAGATGACAACTTCAGTTGGTTTGTTATGTGAAACCCAGGTTCGCTACATAAAGAGATTGGTGGAGACACTTCCTGAACAACTGTGTGTATGTTTTTTAGTTAATTCAGGGTAAGTGTCAGGTTGTAGCACAAAGAGCTTTAATATTAAGGTGACCAGATGTGATGGTTTGACCAAGACAGTCCCAGTTTTTGGAATGTTGCCTCACTGTCCCAATAGATCATTTTGGGACATCTAGATGTCCCAATTTTCATTTATATCAATAATATATAAGTTTTTTATACTTTTGTTCAGTGGTTTGAGCCTCTGACAACTGTGAATCAACAGATATGGATATTTTAACTGGGTGAGGAAGTTATCACATAGCTCAAAACGATTCAGCATAACCTTTGGTGCTTCATCCAAAGTGGGCTATAATGCAGGCTGCAGCATTCATCAGATGATATGATATCACTATTGGATACTTAATTTTTGCATGCATAAAACAAAATGGAGACAGTTGATTGTAAATGGTAGGTTATTCAACTTTCAAGTCAGGAAGAATTTATTTAAAGTAACTTGATGAATGACATTTGGTCAGAATTTTATGACATACTCCTGGCAAACTTGAAAAAATACACATGTTAGGGACTTATTTGAAGCAATAGTGATAATATAGATTGTCTGCATAATTGATTGGTTTATAATTTTCTCTGAAAAAGGAGTTGGGGAGAATTAGTTTTAATATTTGGAGATCTGAGAGTGTCCCAGTTTTATGATGTGAAAATCTGGTCACCTTATTAAACATTGACCTCTCATAGCCAAAAAATTGGTTTCTAGAAAACACCAGCCCATGAGAATATGTGTTAAGAAAGTAAGATTAAAAATGTTAATCTTTATATTTGTTACATCTCTTTCTTTTGTCATGGTTAATGGTCTCCCTTTAGGTTTTCTTCATTATCAAAAGCACTTATTAGTGCAATGGATTTGAATGATCATACAATTACATGCCTGATTTTTTTTGTCTTGCTGTGGCAATTTTATGATTATATGACTCTTGTGTTGATAAGGCATTTAAAACTTCTCTGCTTAGCCATTTTTTTGTTTAATGTTGTTTTTCTTATATGTGTATTAAAAAAACATCATCCATATTTGCTTGTATTAGTTTCGAACCAGTTAAGTTTTCTTTCCCTACTAGTAGACTAATCTTCTCTATCAAATAATTCTTAGTTCAGAAGCCAATGATATTGCCCTAAGACTAGCCAGAAGTTATACTGGAAATGAAGATGTAGTAGTCATAGATAAGTAAGTATGAGGAAACTCATATTTAGGTATTTTCACTTAGTATTGTTTGTTATTTAAATTGATGGTTGGGTTAACAATAAAAATTATAATTAATTATACTTAATACAAGGTATTAGTATTAGGCCTGTTTTATTTTTTAACACTATTGTTACGTCTCCGTTTGTTAGTTGATTTTCCGTAACTTCGTTCCGACGAAACTTTAGCGACACAAGTCCTTACATAATAAAACTGGTTTATTCTTTCTGAATATAACTTTACGATACACTTAATTTCAACATTCGTGCTAAAACAAACACTATAACGAACGTTAACTTCAACAATACTCTCTGACTGCAGATCAGTTACTCACTACCTACACACATTGTCACATCACGCCGTGACCATCTTTTATATACCAGGCTACCCCCAATCTAGTAAATGCTAGGGCATTCACGAAGGAACAGGATATTTCTAGAAAGCAGGTGGCGTGACACTAGTTACGTGACCTCGCTGACGCAACACTATTATTTATTCAGTTCCTTAGGGTTTTTCAACATGAAGAAAGGTTTATAATATTATTCCAACCACTCTATGTTCACCATATCCGTTGCCAATAACACGCTTCGCTCAATACAGATCTCATCGAACTGATTGGGACACAACAAGTACAGTAATGGTTGTAACTTTATTTATACGAGCCATTTGCTGTAACAACAATTTTTATGGCTTGGATGTCTCATCTAAGTTTGCAAAGCATAATTATAATTAATTATAGTTATTATAAGACATCAGTATTAAGCTTATTATATTTTTTAACACTATATAATTAACCAGTCCTTTAGGGTCTTTCTAGGAAAAGACGAGTGTTTTAATAGTATTTTAACCACATTTCGTCCACCAATGACAGGGATAATTAATTATAATCATGCTTCACCAGCTTAGAAGAGGCGTTCACACCATTATAATAAATCTTATAGTCATGACTTTATTTCATGCAAGTTTCAAGTTTTATATTTTTTAAAAACTAGAATGGAAAAATCTCGTATAGCAGAAATTCCATAAACTTTTTAATGATTTACTGTAAGTTCTACTTTAGTTCTAAATCTAAGGTCTGTCCAAAAGTCCTATAAACTTATAAGCTTAATAACTGAAGTGTCTCTTTTGTTTCCAAAACATACAGCTTTCTGTTGGTGTTTCTTAATGTTTTATGAACTTTCTTTCAGTTGGTGGTAACTTCATTGTCTGTGAGGTTGTAGAAGTGTTGATAGGGTTGCATAACATTGTTAAGGCTGTATTTCTTATTAACAGGAATTTTAGTTGTTTGCTTTACAATTATGCTCTGTTTACGCTTTGATATTAGTCCAAGTTTTAGATGCTCTTTTTGTAGCTATGTTGGATAAAGCAGGGTGCCAAGGTTCAAATGTCATGACAGGAGGATAATAATATTGGGAGAGAAATGTTTTGGTTTACATGTAAATGAGCAACTTTATTTTAGAACTAATACATATTGATTATATATTTAATATGTATGGAAATATGTTATGATTTTTTTATAGTGCACCAAAATCATGGGGGGGAGGAGTGCAATTGTACTTTCCTAGTGTCTGTTACTGGAGAAATAGTCACAGTGTGATTATATGATGATTTTCAATGTGTTAGGCTGAATGTGTATATGTAAATTGTTAAGTTAAGACCCTATAGACTACTGTTTTTAATCGACTCTCTCAAAATGTAATAAAAAATGTTAATTTTGTTCACTTACTAACGACCAGTTAGTTCCTTAAAACATTAGCTCAGATGCTTTTATTGAACATTTTTCTACATGTATAGTTTCAAGAGAGTGAATCGTTTAATAGGGTTATTTTTGTCCCCCTGTATTTATAAGATGGTATTTGTCCCTTTTTTTGTGCATAAAGGTCATGATTACACTTACTCTTTCTTATTTGCTGCAAAATATATCTTAAGTTGTAGGTCTTACAATTTATTCATAAATATGAAAGTGACTCCAGTAGTGTAATCCATAGTTCAAAGTCATTATAATGTATGTTGGTGTTTTGTTTTGTATTGTGACTAGCTTTGAATCTTGAACACTATGCACAGATAAGGACCAACATCAGTGTTTAAGATAAGAAAATTAACAGTTTAAGATCAGAAGGTTAACAGCTTAAGATCAGAAAGTTAACAGTTAAGATCAGAAAGTTATCAGTTTAAGATCAGAAAGTTAACAGCTTAAGATCAGAAAGATTAACAGCTTAAGATCAGAAAGATTAACAGCTTAAGATCAGAAAGTTAGCAGCTTAAGATCAGAAAGTTAACAGTTTAAGATCAGAAAGATTAACAGTTTAAGATCAGAAAGTTAACAGTTAAGATCAGAAAGTTATACTAGTTTAAGATCAGAAAGTTATCAGTTTAAGATCAGAAAGTTATCAGTTTAAGATCAGAAAGTTATCAGTTTAAGATCAGAAAGTTAACAGCTTAAGATCAGAAAGATTAACAG